GTTAATTACAAGGAAAACAAATTTGCTTGTGAAAAAAATTATCCACCATGTAAATAATACTCTTAATTTGTCTGTTTAATTACCTTTGCAAAATAAATTCAACAAGCTCTCTAAAGAGATGTTGCTTAAAAAACAAAAAAAAATTTATTTTATTATAAATAAGGCCTTCTGTTGAGCACTTACAAAACCAGGGTTCATTCAGACTTTCAGCTCAAGACTGAGAATTTCTCATTAATTTCTCTGAGAGTGGAACAAGCCCTAAAAGATGCACATACAGATGTGGCCACCCCAGTTCTGGCAGTGCTCATGGCCTCTCCATTCGGTGCTGCCAGGACTGGATCCCAGTTTGGAGACTGGCCACATTCTGCACAGCAGCAGCGCTGCAAGCTGTGCATACAAAAAGCGAAGTTTAATTCCGGATGCCTCATCCATCTCTCATTCCCTGGAGCAAGAAAAAACTGCCCTTCACCCAGACATGTGCAGAGGAAGAAGAAGCATTCACTGTACAAGGAAGGTCCCTTGGCTTGACAGAAGTGCTTCAGGAGTGGCACAATGCCTGGGTATGACTTGCAGTGCAGCCACAGCAGCCAGACACCAACCCACACTTAATCAAGCGTTCATGCATGCCCTGCTACTGACAGTAGCTGCAATTTAGCTCGCAGAGCTTACACATGCCTACAGGAGCAGCAGCCAGCACTGTATCTGCAGGTTAAATGTCATTTGGCTGCAACTCCCTTTGCAGCAGGAAGAAGTTAGGATGTGTAGGTGCACCAAGGAGCACCAAACTACCTTTTCAAGGCCAGGCTATGCTGTCCACAGATGGCAACAGGCTTTGCCTTGGAGCTGCAGCACCTTGGCACAGTGGCAGGACCAAACAGACCCAGCCCTCCCCAGCCTCATCACCCTCTGCTCTGTTTCTACACACAGCTCAACAACAACAAAATAAGAACTTGCTTTGACTAAATTAGTTTTTTTTAATAGGTAGTCTAAGATGGTCACTTATCAAAAGGCAGCTTTAGCATGCTTTCCCCAATAAAATACATATATTAAATTTATATGGTCATTACTTACAGAAATCAGTCTACCAGACTAAAGTGCCCATGGATTTATCTGTCCTTTTCTTGACATCACAGCCTTCGTAAAAACCATGAAGGCTGCTGATGCTTCTCATTCAGCTTTGCAAAGCTGCTGGTTTTGTTGGGTTTTTCAGTGGGGAAGGGAAGATTCATCCACAGCTGTCAGTTCAAAAACGACAATTTTCTGTGTTCTTTATATTGATACAGTATCTATCAATACTTCAGAAACACAAGTCACTGTCACTAGCATTTACTACAAAACTACAACAGTCATTCCAAGAAATAACAAAGTAGAAACTTAAATAGATAGCAAGCTATGTTAAAATGTTGCCATTTTGAAATGCCTTCTCATACTTTGAAAAGTGGATACAAAATGAGAGACATATGATATTTGGGAAATTTTTTTAAAGTTACATCTTTACAAAGCCCTTTTTAAAAGTGTTTCAGACCCAAAGACACTGTAACACTAGGACACAAGTTATGAAGCCACACACAGTATATTCTAGAGTAGATGATGAATACCTCAGGTTTTATCCCTCTGATTTTCCTGGTTTAAATCACAGTATGGTTGTACACCTACATTTCCTACAGTATTACAGGCTATACTCCTAAACCACAACATTTTGCTGTCAAATGCAGTAGTTTGCCTCAACACTAATTATTTTAAAACCAAATGCCTTAAGCTGTAACATGAGATGACCAGCAACTGAAAGATTATAGGATTTTATCAGAGAAACTGTTCATCTTTTGAGGATTGAAATTACTTTTTTTCCACATAAACTCAAGCCCAAATACAGATGGCACCTGAAGAAATCATCAAGCTCAAGCCCCTGCATGAGAACAAGTAAAACAGTTTTGAGGAGTGTTTTTAATATATCCTTAACACAAATACTATTTGACTTTCAAAAACCTTTGCAGAAATAAGATTGCACAACCTTAGTTTCTTTCAGTTTTCCCTAAGGCATAACAGATTTTAAGAACTTCATCAAGTCTTTGGTGCAAACTAGTTTCATCTTTTTTGATACAGTCACTTTCAGAAGAACACAAACCATTCCTCAGTAATTTTAATACTCTAGCATCTTCCTGTTCTCCCATCTCATCTCTTTCTGCTGGAAATAAGCTTGTCTAGCTTTGTGGAACACACTTTCCAAACACACATATTCTCTGCAAATCCATTTTCCAAAACCTTCCTAAGCCCTGGTGACCGTTTCTGGTAGATGGACACATTTGAATTTATCTTCCTTAACAGGCTGTAGCCAAAACTGAACACATTACTCTATTAACTTAAGCTGCACTAGTACAAAAAGCTAAATGCTGAACTTCAACAGTACTGCATCCCTGTGCTTCTTGTGATCCCGCATAACCCTCAGATTTGCTTCCATGGCACTGCTGCCAAGTTGACTTTACCCATTTGCATTATGGGATCTTCTTCCTGAAAATAGTATCTTGTACTCAAATACTGCCTTGGAACTTATCAGAAACCTCTTGTCCTCCGAAGCAGAGCATCAAAAACAGAGTCTGAAAGCCCTACTCAGTCCCCTTCATATTTTGTGCTAATTCTGTTGATCAAAGATATCCATGTCAACAAGTACAAAGGTGCCAGAAGTGCCCCCAGCGCCATTTAAACTCATGTTTGATGGTGACTCACAATCATTTCCTGAGAATTATCACTTAGACTCGTTATCTCTACACCTGGTCCCTTTGGTTCAGCTGTTCTCAAAGTCTTCATTGAACAATTTTCCTAAGAGCAGCCCTAATGGGTCAGATAGGCAGGTCTGTTGTCTGCACTATGTCAATGCCTGAAATTAATACAAAAATTTGAGAAATAATTGACGATATTTTCCCAGCCTATTGTTCCAGCTCTGTGCTCAGCTTGGTGACTCCCTGAGCTATTTCAGGTACTCCACACAAGTCAGGCTTAGTGGGTTTTTCTTCCATTAATTTGTCCGGCTGCTTTTCAAGTCCCTGTAAACTTTCAATGTCTACATACTTCAGAAAGGATTTCCAAAGCTTAACTAACCACACATTGGGTCAAAACCAAAAACACACCCCTTTTGTTCATTTTGAACCTGCCAGCTTAATCGTATGCTTTTACATTTTGTTCTGATAAAAAGTCCCTACTCAACTTTGCCACATAAGACTGTCAAAATTTCTAAAACCTGAAATCTTTCCTCAGACCAGTGTTATCAAATACCACAAAAATACAAAGGTTAGATTGGGTCACAAAGCCTTCTCCACCCTGGCAGACCAGGCACAAGGAAGCACTGGTTCACCTTCCTTATGAGAACATTATTGTTAATAGGTCAAAATTCTGACCCATTATCAAAACAAAGGCACATGGCAATGCCGGAGGCTGAAGGACACAGTACTTAGTGCAGATTATAGAGGAATGTCCCCTCTGACTAGCAATAATGGGGGTGGGGAAATTAGTTCAATTTAGAATTTCTGCAAACTAATACTGACATGGTTTTAATTCAGAAAGCTATTCAGTCTCACAGGAAAGTTTACTGACTTTATGTTTGCATTGCTGGCTTTATAGTTTTACAGTCAAAGGCATAACTGTGCCTTCACTAAATAGTTTATTAACTGAGACACATTAAAAACCCATCCACTAAAAATGCTGTCAAACTAAATCTTAATTTCTGCGTTATTAAAAGCAACATCACAAAGGTTTGGAACTGGTGCTCTGATAATTCTGATATTTACTCTCCCATCTCAACAACACTGAGATCTTTCTTTTGCAGTTATTTTATAAACATTTAAGAGTTAACTTGTGTGTTAGCAGTTTTGTTGTATTTAAACAAATACTGCAAGACATTTGCTTATACTTTTAAGTTTTAAAAATTAACATGTGAAAAATTAAAATATTTCTAATTTTGTTAGGCTTTTTTTTTTCCACTAAAAAATAAAGTTTAAAAGCGCAGATGACATTTAACTCACGAGTTCATCTCCACCCTGTTAATTTGTCACACTTGCAACAGAAGGAAGACTCAGTCCCGTGGCCTTTGTACCCGGCTGGCTGTGAACCCAGTCCATAGGCCGCCCGCAGACCGGCGATGCCAACTGAACTGTAAGGAATTAGGTCGCCTCAAAGGTCTGTTCCCTCCGGGAGCACCATAGGGCACAAGTCACGACATACGACTTCTCTGCACCTTTGTAAAACAGGGCTGGCAGACAGCAGTGTTCGCTGAAACCACAGATAACAACCATCCTTTTACAGAACCAGCCAACTCTTAATTCAGCTACCTCCATCCTACAGGCCTTGGTGGCATTTACTAGTTCAGAACCTGAGAGCCAAGTGGTAGACGAGCACCAACAGTATAATTGCTGCACTGCAAGTTGTATTCTAGACCATTAAGGAGACGAACCCTTTTAAGCTTTCCTATTCAGGAATGGATGCAAGTTACAGGAATGGGGAATTGGTTTTTAGCTGTACATCACAGTGACACACGCTGCTCTCCAAACCGCAGCCTGCAAAAGTACTTCAAGCAGAAATACTCCAGAAGATGTTTTTCCACTGAACTACCAGTCGTACTGCGTTCGGCCAGTAAAGGCTATACAAATTTTGTTTTCGCTTACAAGGACAATCCCACCAGCAGAGAAATGTTTCTGGAGCAAGGGATGGAATTTCACAGTGGATGATACTAAAAAAAACCAAACAAGCCCACAAAGGAAAGAATTTCCATGCCAGTTAATTTAAGGAAGTAAAGCACAGTCCAGAGGGATTCTAAGCTCCGGCTCCGACAGGTCTGTCCCGCGGAGCGCTGGCCGGAGCGCTGCCCGCCGCGGGCCCGGCCCGATCGCACCTGCCCGGGCGAGAGGAGAGGGGCGGCGGGGGCAGCCGAGGGGCAGCGCCGCGGCCGGGCCGGCGCCTCCCGCCGGGGGTACGACGGGGCGGCGGAGGCCGAGAGGCCGCGTCCTTACCTGCTGATGGAGGTGGTGCTGCTGCGCTCGGCGCCCCGCTCGCTGCCAGCCCTGCTGCTGCTGCTGCTGCTGCCGCTGCTGCGCTGCTCTGCGCCGCCCCCGCCGCCCGGCACGGCCCGGCCCGGCCCGGGACGTCACCGCCACAGGGCCGGCCGGGGGCGGGGGCAGC